CCAAGTCGAAACGACATGTTAAAAATATGGGTTAATGGTTTGCATATCCCCTCAATTACCCATTTAACAGTTGTCATAGTGATACCATCACTATCACTAGATGTTTTGTTACCACATTTGTTCACTATCTCTAATTTCTTTTTCAACTATGGGCTTCAAAAACATAGAACTCATGTTCCTTTCGATTGTATTATTATTTATAGTGACGGATGTATCATCTGTATAAATGCTTCTTGCTAAACTAGGACCAACATTCATAAAGAACCTATTAAACTTATCAACTACATCCTCCAATCTATTGACCGGTGTATCATTATCCATAAAATATTAAGGGTAGTTACTCTTGCTGGAACTGTTTCTAATCAATTTATTTAATATATTCCAAGTACCTCTCATGTTATTTTTATTATCCTCTAATACATTAGAGTAATATAGTTTCTTACATCTCCTCAAAATCTCAATTAATTTGTTTATATGACTTATATTTTTCTTCTTCCATCTTTGATCTGTCCTTCACTTGCCTCATTCCATACGTGGGCCATACTTGTTGTTGGTTCCTGCTAATTGTTGGTTCCAACGCTCATCTGCCCTCGCAGATATCAATATACCTGCGTGTTTCTTCATACAGCTGAGGGTCCAGCGACCCCTTCATACTCTCCTTGTCTCGGCATACTGGTCCTCGGCGTGCTGGTCATGGGTCCTGGATTCTGGTTCCGAGGTCGGGTCACTAGTCGGTCATACCGCAGGAACGCGATGTCTCCCCTCACCCTGGCCTCCCTTAACATCAGCATCAACTCCCTTCTTCTCTTCCTCACAGACTCGGTGTGGGTGGTGTAAAAATACAGATAATACTGTATAAAATACAGTCCATTTACCATTTACCATTTAATCTTCATTTATATAAATATTAGATCCTTTAAGCTTCTTTGCTTGTTGCAGTATGTGTGCCTTATCTTTCTCTTTCATCAACTTTACCATCACCGCCCTCGGTCCCCGATCAGAAGGTTTCCCGACTCTGTGAGCCCGCTCC